TCACATTGTGTTTGTCCTTTACAACCCATAAAATGCTCATTTCATCGCTCATTGTTCTAAATCTTTGGGTAAACCCTGAAGATTAACCCCTTTAAATCAATTTCGTGCAAACAAGACTATTAAACATTGTTATGAAATAACTTATGTAATAGGTGTTTTAGGAAACGAGAAAGAGCTACAACGTTTTAAATCACTTAAAGGAAGCAAACGAGACTAAATTTACTAATACCTTTAAAATACCTACACAAAAATACACTACAGTGTCAATCGCCCATTTTGAACTGCTTACTGTAGTTGTAAACCTAAACATTAAAATTGTCAACGTTAAACTCAATAGTTGTCTTTAACTTATACTTAAATACTTTTCAATGAAATGACGACCATACAAAGTAGGTATTTTAAGCCAAGTACGAATGGAGATGAGTGTAGGATGTGTGGATGAGTGTAGTGGCGCGATGTTGTAGTCTTGTTAGTGACTAAGACCAACATGTTCCTTAGACACAGCTGTTTATTAATAGTAATAGCCTATACAGCTAATGGCAACTAAGGTATATACCTACAGTTTATAGTGGAATCCGAACCACATTTTTGCCTTGGTATATACGAATTGGTCTAATTATCAGGATAGTACTGCGGATAGTCGTAGTAGGGGCCTACTCAGTAGTGCGGACGTTGAATAAAAAATAAATGCATAGTATAGTACGGAAATTAAGTGGTTTTGATAAGGTTTTTATCTTGCTTGCTGAGCCTTTCGTTTAAATATTATACCCTTGTAAAGCACTTGTTGGTTGGCCAAAAAACGTATTGTAGCCTACTTACACGGTTTTATATACTCTTTTAGAAGCTGTTTATGTTTTCGAAACATGATACACTAAACTACAGTACAACATAATACAATATTGACAAAATAATCTACCGTATCGACAAAACACACATCGGGAAATCATCACGTAAACAGAGGAAACAATGTGAGTGACTAACACAACGTTCCTGGGCTGATAAAATACCGAACGTAAAGCATTGTTTAGTGGCGCTAGTTTACTTTAATGGGACCAATTGGCGCAAGGAACGTTTCATGTGTCACGTTGGATGACTGAAGCTATAAGCCTTGTTAAACTTGTGTTATCGACTTGTCAAAAACATCACACGAGAGTTTCGTCGCAGACAAAATATGGTCTAATTGTCATTAAACCGTTACAGAATTGTTTTAATGCACACTAAACAGTATTTTTTTTAATAGTTAGTTTGTTAACCATTGGTTTAGTTTTTCCAATACTATATGCTAAAAAATGTTTTTGTGCGGCCATTTTTAAACTGTTAATTTTTAAGAAATGGTATTAAATAATACAATGCAACAATGGAGAAAGTGTGAGTTTGTAAAAATGTGGACGAACACCAGAAGAACGTTACTATTGTAGTCGGAAGACTAATAACTGTTACGATAATACTTACTACTACTACTATCATATATTAAAGATTATATATTAATAGGCAAGAATGTTTCCTTAAAACCTTTTTTCTCGTCTCGTGTGCACCGTAGGGAAAATCTACGCATACTGTTAGAAAGATATTTTTCTGTAGATTTGCAGAATCCCTTTATAAATTGAAAATTTAAATAGGCTAACAAATAAGCACAAAAAATGTATTTAAAATTTAAAAATAATTAACATGGGCCATATGGGTTGCCATGCTGGTGACGAAATAAACTAAATATAAACATAAAATCAAAATAAATTAAAGAAATTTCAACTACATGTCTTATTTACAGCGTGGGGTGAAAATAGAGAAGTTGGTACATTACAAAATATTTGGTCGAGTTTTCGACCACTGGACGACCTCTAGTACCTTTTAATATATGCTACTAAATGTAAAATAGCATTTCCCTTTTGGTGTTTTACTCTCCGTTTTGTTTTATAAATACCCCCGCCGCAGCAAACCTGCAGACTAAGCGAATTTCCATCAACCCGATTGGATTTACACTAAAATGCCTCCATAAAAATAGCACATTTATTTCCTATTTAAATAGAATTAGTTTAACGAGTACTTAGGTTTGCTGCAACAGGGAGGGTAAAAAAGATTTTTTTTTTAATGATAATAGTTTAGTAAGAAATAAAAGTATTTTCCAAAATCGATCAAAATATGTTCATAAACAAGCAAACTACAACAGTTGACTTGTTCTCCATAAGAATAACATAGGAATTTTAAAATTACAATTTTTTAGAATTTTCTCCGTAACAATCAGGCGCATAATAACGCTTCAATATACTAAATTATTTGTTTTTTTAAGCTCTACAAAATGGTTTAAAAAGAAATTGTGAAATTTTGTGTTTTTAGGGTCAAAAATGGGAAAAACCTATTTTTACCCCATAAAACCCCCCATAAACCCCCGTTCCCATAGTCCGATCATGCTGGTTCGCGAACTCATTCAAGTTTATCCCGCCTTACACCTTCAAGCCAAATTTTATCAAAATCGGACAAAAATTACTCAAGTTATCATGCGGATGGACACACACACACACACACACACACATATAGATATATATATATATATACTGTATATATATATATATATATAAATTTGAACGAATGGTGTTTTTGGCCTCTGGGGACATCAAAATGAAAAAGTAAATCGGTCCCGGGCTTAGGTCTTACCATGAGACCTACGGTAATAGCTACTTCCCTATAGGGAAATTCGCTAAAAATATAAAACACAATCTCAATATTACATGGCGACTCAAGGACAACACAAGATTTCCCATGTGGTTTAAAATTTCCCTCGTGTCAAAAATAAGTTATATCTATATATATAAAAGGCAAAGCCCTCACTGACTCACTCATCACTAATTCTCCCACTTCCCATTTACCTAGGAAGCTGAAATTTGGTACACTGATTCTTTAGGCATTAAATAGGAAAACTAAGCTATTTTTATTCTGATCGGACTCTCGGGCTCCGCCCCAGTGGCTCTGGAGTTTCCCATGTTAACCTTATGAGTACTCATATTTAAATGGAATTAATGAATCTTAACAGCTGTTTCAATTAAACAAGTTGGTTCTGTTCTATGATGTTCAATAGCATAGTTACAAGGATTACCAACAGGGTGCAGCACTATATTATTTCTTTTACATTTATGACAACAGCTAATCTGCAACCAAAAGGTGAGTGAGCGTAGCGAACGAACTTCAACCTGGAGGCGAGTTAGCGTAGCAAACGAGCTAACCTGAAGACAAGTGAGCGCAGCGAACGAGCTCCAACCTAAAGGTGAGTGAGCGTAGCGAACGAACTTCAACCAGGACGTGATTGAGCCATGCGAATGAGCTCACTTATGAAGTAAAACGGGGCAAAGCCCGCGGGTACAGCTAGTGTTAGAATATAACGAATTATATTTTGTGTCAACTATCATTCTGTTTGGAATCGTTTGCTAAATAAATACATTTTAGTTTGATTTTACTATTTTAATAAATTTGTAATTAAAAACCTTTGATAAATTTGTAAAATTTAATAAAACAAATTAGAAGGAATGTTGTAAACTCCTACATGTTCTAAGATAAATGACAATAAGTTTTTCTCTTGGTAAACTACCTAACCTCAAAATACAATTGGATATTAATATGTGTCGAAAGGCTAGTAATTGTAATAGAAGCCCTAGCTGAAACAAAGGAATCCCAAATCTCATTTAACGTGTAGGGCCATGTAATGTTTCAATAGGAGTTCTGCCGTCTTAGTTTGAAGAGCTTTTCCAATATTGCCTCGATTGCCTAACAACTTTCAACTGACCGTTTCAGTCCTACTTGTGACGTTTGCTACTCCTTACTCCGTTAAATACATTTGAAACATTGCATATGTCCAGTACTTACAAAATAAAACAACAAAGACACGAAATTAGTGCGATTAAAAACTTAAAGTTTGATATCTAATCACAATTGAATTCTCAAGTAACAATCCTTAATATGTTACCTTAAAAAAATGTTAATATGTTATTTTTTTAATGAAATGTTTGCAAAAGTTATAATCAAATTATTGTTTTCGATATCTTTAACATACGTTTGACGAAAGCACAGCTTTATTAACGATTAACAAAAAGAAATGTTTAATAATTATTTCTGGATTTAATTAAAAGGATTAATTTGGATTAACCCGATGGATTACCGGTGATAATGTGAACACCCTGTTTTTAAAACAGATTGATGACTTCAATTTCACCGAATGGATGCAATTAAGTTACTTTCGACAAATTAAAAAATAAAATATGAGAAATATTATTTAAATGTTGGTATGAATATTCAAGTTTATTATATATCCATAAGGCACCCGCGGGATATTAAAAACGCGTCATAAATTTAGGACGACATTTATTGGTGTAATAAACATTAATTGAAACAAGTTGATAAAAATATGACAGAAAATGCCTGGTTGAAACCTCACCGGCCGGTGTCTGAAATATGAAAAACACAACTACTACATATTATAGGTGTCAGTAAAATGTGCCTGAATTTGGGGGAAATTGTTGATTTTCGCAATTTTTAAATGCATTTGCTGTCGGTTTTTTTCCTTAATATAGTGTAGACATGTTCCTGTTATCAGAATACCAGTCCACTTATTTTATCCCACCTAAAACTATAAGACATCATTACCAACAATCTATGGATGAATTTAGTTTCACTCTCTTAAATCCGTTTAAATTAAAACATCAATTAATCAACTTTGTGAACTTGACCAATTGGAGCGATTTTCCTTTCACTTCATTCTTCATTGATAAAATTAAAATGCGTAGATACTGAACCTAAAAATATTATTTTATGCACGTGAGTCAAATGTTAAAGTAAACTTAAAACCTAGAAATTATTTTTACATGTTTTGTATCAGAAATTACGATAAAATGAAAATTTTTAGAGTAATACCTATGAATAATTAAAATTTATCCTTAAAACTGAAATTTGTAATAAATAAAAAAATTACAAACTTGTATTTTAAATACATGTACTTTTAACACTTGACATACCTTATAACTATGTAGTTTAATATATCATACAAAATGTTCGTGAAGAATGCTTTCACAATCCTGTAGAACACAACCTTCCTACAACACAACTACACACCGACTGCGGCTGCTGGACCATATCGAATTGAATAGAAAAGGGAGAGGGGGGAGAAATGCTGTGACGTCATGGACTTCAGCTGTTTTCATTGTTGTTTGTATTCTAATATTGTTGCTTGATAGCTGTACAAGATGTTTAACTAATCATATACTTCATTCTAAGGAAGCGAGTAAGATTTGCATGTATGTATATGTATGTAAGGTTGCCTGTTTGGCTTGGACAATTATTTACATTTTCAGAAATTAGTTTTTGAAAAAATATTTAGGAAAATATTTAAATTTTAATTTTTATCATCAGTTTCGTGAAAATATCAAAACATACTTAACTTACATCCTTAAGTACCAGTATGAGTGAGTTTATAGTTTCTTATGGTTTATTTTACGTTTGGGGGAAAAAAATCTTAAAACTGCGATTGAAACAACAAAAGTATTTAGAAATAAAGTTTTACATTTGGTTTTTTAAACTGTTAAATATAATTTTCCTAATGAGTCCAATTAATTAACAGTCTGATACAACTACTATCGAATGACAATATTTTTATAACATGTCAAATGTATTTTACTCCCCCCCCCCCCCCCGTACAAAGTAAAAAGAGAAAGTATTGTTATGTCAAAATTTTCCAGTTTAAGTTTAGGTTTAGGGAAGAAATAATCTGTTTTGGGTGCTTTTAAACAAATACAAGTGGTTTTCGAAGTATTGTATGTTCGTGTGTTTGTGAGTGTCTGAGAGTGGACGTTTAGTTTAAAACTACACCTGTGGTCCTCTGATTTATAAGACATTTTGGCATGTGGGTCTGGTCTCATGGTGAATAAGTCTTTACTATTTTAGTATTTTATGGTTAGGAAAATGTTGCACAGGTGCAAAAAGGTTGTTATCTGTCTCCTAGACATATATCTTGTTAATATGAACAGTTAGCAAGTTCCCAGAATGTTATAATTTTTTGATTATTTAACAGCCCAGACCTAAGAACAGGTGTATTTTCTTAAGTGTGTAAATATGAGCAACAATATAAATTTTTGCCTTAGTTTTTTGTCAGATAAAAAGCAGATTATCACAATATCAATAATTAAAAATTAAAACATAATTTTTTTTTATTTCATTGTCACTTCTTTAGTATTAGTACACTGAGGGGAGAGAGCTGGTCTAAAAGCTGGTTAAAGCGCTAGTGGTTCGGTCGCTGAGGTCCCGGGTTCAAATCCCTCCAAATCACCAATGCATTTTATCTGAGTGATAATGCTGCAACCCCTAGGTCTAGCCTGAGGTAATGTAAAAAACTATCCCGTGCTCATGCCTAGCGTCCTAGAAAAAAAGTACTGATAGATACTAAAAGAATAACCACCAATCTTCCTATTTAATTGAATTTTTCCATGGTCAAAGATTCACTAAACTTAAAATATTTGACCTAATTTCAGTTTTAATCTTCTTTAACTTAAATCCGCTAAAGTAATAAATGTATAATTTAATAGTCAATAGTAATCAGACTGGAGAAATTCCAAGGTGGTGAGGTGAGGGGAGAGTTTGAAACACTAAGATTAATCCAGGAAATGGTCTCATCTGCTTGGCCTCCTTCTTACCCTCCCCTACCCCCTCATTGTATATTCTACCTTCACCCCAAATGAAAAGGTTCTTCTTACCTTACATAAATCATCACAAGTCAAAAGTGTCATTTGGTATTCTGTTTTACATTTCAACGAAAACATTTATATTTTAGGATGAATCAACTGTGTTAGGACAGAATAGTGTTGTTCTATATTAGTATTTTAAAATATTTTGCCATGGGATTTATATTTTGAAATACCTGCATGGGATATCGTTGACATCACACTGATATTATGAAATAATAAAGGTAGAGGAATAAATCATAAATTGTGTTTTAAAATTCTTTCTTTCTCCCACATTCAGTTGAAGTAAAGTTAATCTAAATCTTGATTTTCAAACAATTGTGTAAGCCAAAAGGCTTAGGAAATATTTTAATCTTTTTCAAACAGAAGTTGTAAAGATCACAGTACTAAACCCTATCGTCTCTTCTGTTGAACACTAGCATGAGGGGTTTTGAAGGCAAGGTTGTGAAAGAGGAACTTCGGAACGTCAGCGGAACTTCAGTGTCTGGGGTAATGTTGATCTCATAGTCGAGTAATAATGTTGCCAAAGCTGTTTTCACTTTCATCAAACCGAATCTGAATCCTGCAAACGATAAATTCATTAGATGTGGAGGAGACAAAACAATCTAGAAACAGCTTTCCGTAGCACTGTCTACAAAAGAAGGCCAGTTTGTGGTTGCATGTGAAGGCCCAAAGAAGCAATATGGCTGAAATGTCTGCTTGAAGAAATAAGTTGTCACTCACAATTGACACCTGATCTGAAAATTGACAATGGCAGTGCAGTTACTCGTCGATCCGATTTTTCAAAATTTTTTTTTTAAATACCGTAATTTGAATCCTTTTCTTCCTTACCAGTACCTTATTGTCAACAGTTCCTATAATATGTAATGGGAGGACTTATCTTTGAACATACCTTCTTAAAGAAATCTTGCACATTGAACATCAGTTAGGAAACACTGTACTAGAGAATTGCCTGCTTACAGCGCTTGAAATGGGTTGGATCTCTTACTTTGGACCCCAAGCATACAAAACTTGCCAAGAAAACATAAAAAGTTTGAATTAAAACTTAAAACATAAATTCACTGTTTGATAGAAGTGATCAGTATAAGTAGCTCATTTGGCGATTATACAAATTCTCTATGAATGAACGATATACTGTATAACACCCAAGAAAAAGTACATTTATGTTTCTGTTGACCCCAGATATTTTGTAAAATTGTGCAACCTGAGGTAGGTATACTTATAAATATACAGGTAACATTTCTAAGGCACATTTTCATAAAATTAGCATTTCATTTACTGCCATTGACTTTGGTTACTGAAAGGTTTCCGAGCACTATATAGTAATGAATCTAGTGTAAATAAAGATTCCATCTCGGACAATACTCGAGATTAATATTTTAATCCTGCTGTACAATATTATCATCAATGCTTTGGCTTTAATATGAATGTAGTTGTACAAACTTACCAATGCACATTCGAGGTCCATCTCCAAATGGAAGAAAGACAAAAGGATGCCTTGTTTTACAGTTTTTTGCACTGAACCTCTCCGGATCAAACGTGTAAGGATCTGGGAAATACTCTGGGTCGTGATGAAGTGAGTAAGCAGGTATTATTATTTTTGTGTCTTTTTCTATGACCAGATTTGAATCTGGAACTCTATACCTTTCTGTACAGTGTCGAAATATCACAGGAAATACTGGGTAGCGGCGCATTGACTCTGAAAATCAAAATAACCCTAGTGGAAGACATCAATAGAAATCAATAGAAAAAATCTATTGTTATCACTAGATGCTTAGTGATATCAATAGATGTTCATGGATATCATTACAAGTAAATACAAACAAATAGACATCACTGAAAACTTAGTCAATACATATCACTAGACATCTATAAACATAAAATATATCAATATAGATCATTAGAGCAAACAAATCGTTCATTGATATCAATAGAGAATATTTTTTTTATATGTTAGATGTAAATATAAATCAATAGACATCAATACGGGTAAATAAAATTCAAAATATCTCTCAAATGTATCACAAATGAGCATTATGGATTATACAAAATATCAATGTAAAGTGGTTAAATAAACAGTAATAAAAATGTTATTTTTTGAAAAAAGGAAAAACTTTAGTTTTAGGTCATAGACGTTAGCTGAGTGAGGTACCTAAAACTCAATATAATTTAAAAATATATCATTTTAAAATTGTTGTAAAACAGTTACAACTTGTATTAAATCTTATTTTTTAAACTGCTAAAAACTGATTGCTAAATAATTTTAAAATTGTTATAAAACAGTTTACAACTTGTATTAAAACTAATTTTCTTAAACTTCAAAAAACTGATTGTAAAACAATTTTAAAATTGTTGTTAAACAGTTACAGCTCGTATTGAAACTTATTTTTTTCAACTGCAAAAAACTTATTGTTAAACATTTTTAAAATTGTTTCAATCTTATATCAACATTGTTGTAATATGAAGTTTAAATCAAAATGTTTTAAAATTGTTATACAACAATTGTAATACAACTTTCGACAACTTTTAACAATTTCTTTCCTAATGGGTTATTAGGGATAAAAATTACTCACAAATTCATTATTGAATTGAATTCCTTATTTCTAGAAATCAATAAAAATAAATTGTATTGACACTATTCACATCACCCAAGTAGCAAGAAAACAGTTTGAACTGGTAATAAAACAGTTTTGAAACATGTTGAAGCATATAGGTACATGCTTGAAATGACACAAATGCCATTGAAAAATCTTTTCAAAGTTTAATTATGAGGCCTAACACAGCTTCTCGCATTCAAAGTGGCTATCATTACTTAGTCAGACATGAAGCGTCCGTGGCGTAATGGCTTAGACATCCGTCTACCATGCTGGAGTCCCAGGTTCAAATTTCGGGAACGCCTAGAGCTTTTTGACAAGAATTTTTTTACTTTTTCATTTTTATTTTATTTTTAGTGCATAGTAGATGTGATTCAATGTGTTGAAACAAATTAAAAATTGTTTTTTAACAAGCTACAAATTATTTTCAATTAAGCTAATGACTCGGATCCTATATTTACTTGTATTGATATGTATTGATGTGTATTGATGTGTATTGGCCCAAATACACATACGTATCAATACGTATCAATATACAATTTTTGTATTGATATATATTGATCACTTCCACTAGGGAATGTAGTATATAGCATAGTTAAGTCAATTCAATTAGCCTAACGTACTTAATAATACGATTTGGGTGTTTTACAGGTATCTTTGAGAATTAGATATTCCATCCCTATGTTAAAGTCGTCGTCAGTTTTTAATCAATATGGACGTAGTTAAAGTGAACCATCGACAGATTGTGCTGATGTAAATTACTGTTTTCTGCTGTATATGTGGACTTTTAAACAAAGTACAATGGATAGGACGACTTATTGCGAGCTATAGCATCTTTAAAGGCATATAAATTATGTCAGTAACAAATACCCTCGCCGCAGCAAACCTGCAGACTAAGCAAATTTCCATTTGCCTGATTTGATTTTCAATTTAATCTATTTTAATAACATTAGGATTAACGATTACCTAGGTTTGCTGCTACAGGGAGGGTTATAAAGTGTGTTTTTTTAGTAAAACATAAATAAGAAGTCAAGTTTGATCAAAATATACCCATAAACAAGCAAACTACAACATTTTACAATATTCTTCATGAGAATAACATGGGAATTTTAAATTTACAATTTTTGGAATTTTCTCCATTACCTATAACCGTAAAAACGTCTCTTTAAAAAAGACTAGAGGGAAATTGGGAAATTTTGTGTTTGGAGGGTCAAAAATTACAAAAACCAATTATTACTCCATAAAACCCCCCGTAAAACCCTGTTCCCATGGTCCAATCATGCTGGTTCGCGAACTCATTCAAGTTTATGCCGCCTTACACCTTTAAAACAAATTTCATCATAATCGGACAAAAATTACTCATGTTATCGCGTTCACGGACGTACATATATAAAAATGTGAACAAATGGTGTTTTTGGCCTCTGTGGACATCAAAATGAAAAAGTAAATTGGCCTAGGTCCTAGGGCTTAGGTCTTACCGTGCCACCTACGGTAATAGCTACTTCCCTATAGGGAAATTTGCTAAAAAGAGAAGCAATAACAATTACCAAAAAGATTTACAGTATATTAGAGCTACTCTAGTACTTCGGTGGGACTTTGCTGGACACAGCGCAGCTTGGAAATTCAGACGTTAATTACAGAAATACCAAATAATTAGGTTAATTCGTTACCATTGATGACTTGATCCATGTAAGTCATTTCCTGCAAAGCTTGATAAGAGATTTCATTGTTGTGTCTTTCCAGCACCTCCTCGACTTCCCAATGCAACTTTTCCTGTATCTTGTAATTGCAGGCCAGCTCATAGAGGCAGAATGTGATGGTGTTTGAAGTTGTTTCAAATCCAGCCGCAAAAAACAGGAATGTCTCTGCTGTTATTTCTTCAACTGTCATCCCTGAAACATAGACTTGTAGTTAAACACAGACACAGAGTTTGTGAATACTAGAGACATCACATCTAGCTGAATCAGGGGTTTTACCTGAAGGGAACGTGATAGTGGAATGAGCCATTTTCATTATTTTCTCTAATCAATTTTAATTTTTCTAATAAATAACATTGAAAATGGTAGAAAATTTCACCAAGAAAAAAATATCATATTCAACTTAGCAGTATGTATGCTCTGGGTCATGTTCATTGAGTGGATTATTTTTTAATCTTTTTATCAATAGCTTTTCATTACATTTTTAGTTAATAGGATCTTTAGTAACTGGTTGAAGCTTGATAGTGCATCAGTCAAGAGTATATGAGAAAATGACCAGAACTGTAAATTTTGTGTTAAAATATTTTATGTATAGTAATGTTCAGGATAATCTGTTTGGATCCAATACAAAACATTACTTTGTATCAATATATTTTCAAGGGTTTTTTTATTTTGCTACAACTCCCAGTTTTCTCAAGTGCAATAAATTTTTTCCAGTTTCTGCTTCCAGCCAATATCGGTTGAGGTAAAATGTAGACAATACAGACGTTTGCCACAATTACACCATACCCAAGCTTTATGGCCTGTCATCATGCCTTTCAACAAATTAAATACATAAGTATAAACATAGTAAAAATATAGAAAAAAGTAGGGTTTATCTGTTTATCTATGAATATGTTTCTGCATATTTAAATATCATATTGTTATTGTTAATTAATATATATATATATATATATATATATATATATATATATATATATATATATATATATAAAACTTACCCTCTTTCTTGCTTGATCTTGCAAAGTCGTAAGTATCATCCTTCTCGCCCTCCTCCAGAATGCTCTGGTTTTGCTTCAGTTTGATCAACAAGTCCAAGAAGTCGTACCTGTTGATGTTGTTTTTTTCTCTATAATCGATCGTGGAGCGAATCACATCTGTTAGAAAATGCGTAATTTTGGAATCTATAAAATCAAATAGATGAAATTTAGAGAGGATGGGAAACGAGTTATATATGAAAAGCTTCAGCAACATCTCAAAGTCTAATTTCATCACTCTAAGTCCTATTTTATAAAACTCAGAGTCTTTATTTGAAAGACAATTTATATCCAGACCAAAGGCGCAAGAAGAGATCACATCTATCGTATATCGGGAGAAAATATCTTTGACGTCCAATTTGTTATTTTCACGAGTAGATTTTTCCAGGAATTCACGTAGCACATCGCTACATCGTTTCACCAAGAAAAACATCATTTTCATCTTAGCCGCAGTGTACGCGGGCGTCAGCTTAGCTCTCATTTCCTTCCACTCCTGTCCCCTCAAGTGGAACAGATGGTTCATTAAGTAATCGTTGGGATGAATATCAATCACCATGTGGTCCATGAAATGATTAAAATCTCTCGCCATTATTCTCTTGATCAGGTCTGGATCTCTCACAACCAGACACGGCTTCCTTATGTCTATCAGACCGACGAAGCGTTCATTTGCGTACTCTTTGTAAATCTTGTCGTAAGCGATGCCCCAGTGGACTCTCCCCAGCACGATGTCTGACATGGAGCCGAGAGGGAACACAGGGGGTACGTGTGGTACATGACGCTCCTCCCAGTACCCATAGTCCTTGACAAAGTACAAGTAGATGATCCAGAACACTAGCAGACTTACGTAGAGAAGCTCAACAATTGTGTTCTCCAATACCACACCCATATCCTGCATAAAATAGAGGAAAGTTACCTATGTAATTGTACAAAGATTCCATTTTATCACTGACTATAGACGTTTAACTATAGGCTATAGGCAACACATCTTGATCTTGGTGAACTAACAAGCAATTTAGTATTATATTGCGTAAATAGGTACCGTAACAAACAGATAGGCTACGTATTATTATTGTTAATTTGTATTTTTCATCTTTGAAATTAGTAATGTTAGTACTTTTCTACTTTGTCTATTTTTTTGAATATTTTTATATTATTTCTAATATTAAAAATTATTAAATTTTTGACTAGGTACTAACTTAAACTGAATGTGTCTACTGGGAAAATACATTACGGGTTATTCTTCCTGAAATATCCTGGATTTGAAGGTCACAGATTAAGCTTCTCTTTAACTTTAAACATCAAGACATTGAACAGCATGCTTTATAGCGATGGAATATATTTTATACTTTTAAGTTGCAATCTCAGTTGCAAAATATAACTATTTTTAACTATCTGAGGTGCAATTAAGAATATTTCTAATTTTAAAGCTAAAAGTTTATTATATCATGATAAAGGCTTACAAAGGTTTTTGAAACGCGATGAATCGGTCCTTGTAGCTAGTAAAAAATTAATAAAAGATGGAAAATAATATTCTGTCCATGTCCTTCTTAAATACCTTTCTATGAGTCATAAATCATTTAAAATATATTATTTATAATTTTTTTTGTGAATTTTGTGGTGGACTATCGAAATAGGGGGGAAACTTTAATTGTTTTATTGCTTACAAGTATTTAACAGACTAAAAGTTTAACATCTACTATAAAATATGTATTGAATATGAATGAATAAAAACAAGTAAAATATTATAGAATATAGATATCCCATGTCCTTGACCTTGAATCCCATGTCAAGTTTCTATGATCAAAAAGAAAAAATAAGTAAAAACTTCACAAGAAAATACAAAATAAATTACAGTTTAAAGCTAATAGATTCTATCTTACTATGATGTTACTACATTACTAAGTTGATAAATGATTTTCCAATAAAACTACTTAAACAACTTACCAGATTCTTCAGGAAGACATTGCTATAAACATTTGATATCTTGTGAGCTTTCACCCATTAGTGTCTAATAATAAACAAAACATTTGGTTTTCTCTTTTCCTCTAGCTTCCACCCTTCACAACAAACTGAGTCTTCTTCTTTTCTATGGGTAAACTAACTGTTAGATTAGCCCCCCCCCCCCTCCACAATCATTACACAAACACAACATTCACAACTATATCTGAGTCCTCAGCCATCTTTACACTATGCTGTAGATGTAGACACAGTAACACAGTCTTGTTTAACCTATCTCTTGTTGCCACAATGAATCATGAGAATTTGTGTTCCACTTGGTTTTGTTATCTAATCTAACATTTCACGATCTTTGACAGTTGTGTTTGAAAACTAATTGGGGTAATTACTATTACTTTGGTTTATCTGCATTGTTAAACCACTCCAACCACTGTTTCTGGATTTTAAAAATTACCATTTCTTTGTTTCTACCCTCAAATGATGTTTATACCAAAGTGTTCAAGATATAAAAGGTTTATTTAGTAAGATTTGTAAGATGATACCATTGACTGTATAGTTGTGATAACCTCTATTGACAGTGACAATTATAGACATGTAAATGAATTTAAAAAGAAAAAAACAGAAAGCATAGCAATCTTTTGAAACTGGGTTCTTGAAGTAAAAATAATATTTTACAAACATGTTTTGTCAACCATCGTTAAGTTGACCATTTTCCCTCTTAAATTATTATATTAACAATTCCTAATTCTCTTGTTACACATTTTACAATACTGTACTATGTGTGTGATTGACTGACTCTCTTATAGCAAATATTTGACCCTCAGACTTAATTGTTAGAGCTAAGTGAGCTTTTACTCCTCATAGTCTGCCAACATTGAACTATATGAGGTCTACTAGTCCTAACCTTGAACAAAGCAAGAATCTAGAATGGTGTATCAATTTTCAATCATTGAGATGGTAGGTGATTATTTTAACCCAAATAAGTGTAGAATGGTGTGATATGATCTGTGTAGCTTTTTTACTGACTAAGATCAGCTGTTTCACCAGCCAGCCCCATTAAAGCCCAATGATCAGGAACAGCTGGGTCCAGTTTTGAACCATCAAAGAGCTATTGACTTTACTTGATTGTTTAGGTGACCTTTTGATTTTTAGTCAAGCACTATAATCACTTGGCTACCTATGACCTGTGGAGATAAGATAGACCAATTAATTACCCCCATGCCCAGACAAAGTTAAACTGTTGGGAATACAATGCTAATAGTATAGACAATTAATTAATTGTCAAGAGTAGTTCACCAGTTAGAATCCTTAAATAACAATCCCCCAGAGAGCACATATTTTTTAGGTTTGTTTATATCATACCCATGTCTCCAGGATAGTTCCAGAGGTGTGTATTATGTTTTGCTCATCCAAAGAAGATTAAGGTAATTAGAATATTAGCTGGATTCAAGAAAAAGTATTGTTTTGGTTAAAATCAATCAAAATTAGGTCTTGTGTACGTATATAAAATACCAGAGGTTGTTTCAACCTTAATATTTGTTACTACAGGGGAAAGTAAATTATATACATTTTCTGAGTAGTTTTAGTTCAATTTGTAACTAAAGGTCAAATGAGTTATTCTCTATTTTCCCTATCTCTTACTGAAATTGTTAGCTGTGATGCTTTATATACATGAATGCTCTCTAGATATTAAATGGTTGGTTGGCTAAGTCTATTACATCTGCATGGACCCAAGTTTATTGACAATAAATTCCATTTTTCCAATGAAAATTACCAAAACCACATCAGACAACCGCATTCTCCCACCCAAGTCTCAAGGATTAATAATAGAATAAAACACTTGTAAAAATTTACTCATCAAACAGGAAAATATGCAAACATTAACAATAAATCCTTATCAATTATACATATTGATAGAACACCATTAAAATAAATTTATCCATGGCAAGAAAAACATTTCGGGGTAACTTTAACTAAAGTATTGTTGAAATTTAAAAAGCTATGCTGCTATGCTTCCTAAAAACTATTTTGTTATTGTACTCTAAATAATATAGTTAGTTTTGTTTTAGCATGCATAGCTATGGGCAAAAAAATGTACCCTGTAGCGTAAAATTGAAAAGTGAAAATCCCAGCACTTTATCTTGACTTCTCATCAATGATGGTTACTTACAAGTATTCAGTTCATGTTTATAGTTTGTGAGTATATGTTTTATCTATGGTTGTGGTTTAGTGTTCAACCAGAAATCCATCTTAAATCTCTATTTGTTGGGTTGAAAAGCTTGAAACATTGTCAATATATTATATGATTAAACATATGTATATATAATATAGTAATAAGGCAACTATATAATGAATAATAGTTTCATTGCACTAACAAAACCTCAAAGACTGGCCGTGTTTAAACTTTTAACTGAAGGATCAGCTGTTAAATTACAATTAAATTATAATATAGAAAGTTGGTCAGCATAACTGGATCTTTGAAAAGTAATGGACTATAGAAATAAGTTTTAACGTGAGGGGGCGAAGTCCTGAAGGACCTTTTTAATTACCATATGCAGGTGCGCTAGATCATAAGCTTTAAAATTACGCCTCAATCGTAAAAATCGGTTAAGTAGGACGGCTGGAAAAGGGATATCACAGGGTAACCCCTAATTGTTGTATTAAGTATATAGATGAATATATTGTATAATGAATTGTTTTGTTTAAATAAATTTAGGATTGTATTTCTAGTTTCTCGTTTTTTGTTCCTAGCACTTTCTTTTAGTAATTAAATTTAGCAATAGTCTTAAATTTGGTCTCACCAAATAAAAGGTTAACTAACTAAACATAGGACTATTTTAAGTTTTCATAAAACTATTTTTAATTTACTAGATTATGAATAATCTTGTAATAAAATCATAAAATCTACTTATTTATAATAGGCTAATTAACATTTTGAAATAATAAATTTGAAAAAAAGTTGACTTTTAATAGTTAGTGAAAAAATATAGGCTATTTGGATTATTACGTCTCAATGATTGATACGAAGTCATACAATTTTTTTATCAATTTTATGTAGGGATGGACGAGATTAGATTTTTAGTTCGAGACGAGACGAGACGAGATTTTTTATTTCTCATAAAATTTCGAGACGAGATCGAGACGGGATTTCCCTTCTCATACACAACGGGAAATGCACGTTCAAAATTTTTACCTGATTTTGTAACATTGTTAGATGACTGTTTAAATACAAAAATAATGATAATAGGCAAGAATATTTACAATCTTTTATTAAAAAACATCAGCATAACATTTTTTTATTAATCACGCCTAACTTATTAAAAATGCCTACGATTAGGAAACATAGTGATATCAGTTAGGATAGAGTTCAACTTATCCTAAAATAAAATAAATCATAAAATAAAAGCAATATTAATTTTTATAAAATAGTTACTTGTTTTGACTTTTTATAGTAATAAAACATTCCTCACACTGCTTACACTTAACAAAACTTCTCAAATGTTATTAAAGTAATATTATTAAAATAATTAAAGTAATATTTACATTTAAAGAATTAATTAAATAAGAACGCCTTCGCAAAGGAAACGCAACTACAACACGCTTCTGTATTGCGGGTATTGCATTGACTTTCTGCAGGCGTTTTTAATTTTTTTTTTTTTTTTATTCTCGTCTTGATAAAAATCTCGGCCAAAAAGAAATCTCGTCTCGTGTAACGAGATTTAAAATTTCCCGAAATTTCGAGACTTGACCATCCCTAATTTTATGTGGTTTATATAACCTTAATAGCTATTGTTGCAAGGAACTGGATATATCTCGCTACAATATATATTAGGGTTTATCAATCAATTTAAATCCTTCAGTAAAAAACACCATGCTTAATCTATTTTGTTTGTATCCATTCACTTGAATAACTTTTACTAAGACTGAAATGTATCTACAGTGTTATTGATAAGTCCCGGAACGGTGTAATACACAGTATATGTTTTACCTTTTTTTTTACATAAAGTAATGAGACTTGGTATATCAATAATAGCTATAAATGTCTACTCTTTTAAGCTATTATCATTTTTTCATCTCATAAGGGAGGAGGAGCCCACGAAAAGTCAGACAAAATTCTTAAATAGCATTATATGTTGAGTTTGGTATCAAATTAAAGGTCTTCGTTGGTAAAACACATTACCGCAAACAAAAACTCGAAGGGACAACCAAAAATTACAGCTGTTCAAAGATTCATTGAGTTTGCAATGTTATTATTATGCTACTGCCTCAGGGAGCGCCAGCTAGAATTCGGAAGAAAATCATAGACTTATGCATAGGTCAATATGCACATCAAATTAAAGGTGTTTATTAGTAGAATACAATGCCAAAAATCTTTTCCCAAAAGAACAACTGAGTAAAAATAAAAATGGCAGCCATTCAAAGATTGAAAATGGCAGATTCTAGAAATATTTAAACTGCCGTCATTTTCAACTCAATTGTCCATTGAGTTCGGGTTTGTGGCAATGTGTTCTACTAACTAAGACCTTTAAACTCGACCTATGCTGCTATTTAAGAATTTTGTCTTAGTCCTCGTGGGCTGCCCCCCTTAAGGGTTAAAAAAATATAATAGCTTAATAGAGTACACATTTATGGTCATTATTGATATACCAAATCTCATTAATGGTAAAAAATATATTTCACCGTTCCAGGAATTTTCAATGACACTGTAAATCCATTTGATTGAGAGTAAAAAAAGAAATAGTTATTGTAAGTAAAATATCGGGATTACTACAAAAAACTTTTTTCTTGGTGGATTTTTAAACTCTGAGTGAAGTCAAAAAAACTTTTGCTAAGAATAAACTAACTTCATTGCCTCCCCTGAATTGACCATGTTTAGCCATACAAACACTAATAACAATCATATAATGCCTTAGTACTTCAGAGTGTTAAGATTACAAAGTTGGCTATTGTTGGGACAAGTTGAAGCTGGCTAAGAGTAAACCTAAAATAAAATGGTGCTTTATTCATTCAAGAATATTTAATGAAGGACAACAAACAATATGTTGATTTTCAAAAACATAACAGAAAATATATATTAAAATCAAAAGAAAGTATATGATTTGCATATTTCTATTTAGAGATATGGCAAAATAAAGCGCTTTATCTGAATAAAATAATTATCAACACGTAAAATATTGAGGTGGGACAGTCAAACTGTTAAAAATACATTAAAACGGATTTGTATCATAGAATAATAAAAGTTATCAGTATTTACAAGGGTTGAAAATAACACAGCAATTTACAGCCAACAATGATCACAATTTCACCACTCGATCAATTTACACATTGATGTCTAAAAAAATAAATTGGTTCCTATGATTTACATTATATACACCGGGGGTCGGGTGATCAGAGATCTAGTGAGCCAGCTACCTGCAACAAACATGACAGCATCACTGCATCGGGTCACTCAACTGATGTATCTTATCCACACATCACAAGCTGATTCATCACCATTACACAAAAATGTATCTGCGGATTTTGTTTTTTTAATTTTATATCTATCTACACAGTTAGAATTTTTACGTTTTTTTTAGGGAATGGTCCAAACTAGTGATGATCAACTAACTTAACAACTAAACAGTGATCATCAAACTCAAACCCAGGAATTTCAAATCTCTAAAGTCTAAACCAAAACTGAACCTTTAAAAATCAAATCCCGAATCTCAAACGCAAAACTTGTTTACTTACCAGGTTAAGGTTACGAAAAAATACAGAGATTAACAAAATATTTATTATGCTATCAAAATTGATAGAAATTTAACTCCTGGCCCTGACACAAAAACATGAATATGTGACTATAACAATTAAAAACTAGAAACATATTTTTTTATTCATAAACAAAAACAACAAATACTGAAATCTCCTAACACTGAGATAATAACATGAATACCTATAAGATCAATTCCAACCTACATAGTAGTCAATATTTTTTATATCTCTGCAGTTTCTTCAGTTTTGAGTTTTGAATCTTTAAACTTGAAACCAAAACTTTCCCAAAGTTTTGTGATTTTGAGAATTGGGAATCAGCTTTGATATATAATATTACTAGTCCAAACACTGGTCTTGTTAACATAAAACATCAATGAAGGTAAATGTAAATAAAATAATTTTAAACCTGAAAACTAGAAATTGCTTGTCAAGTAAATAGATTATAATGTAATGTATGTAGAACAAGTAAGTCAAGTTGAGACTGAGAAGAAGAGTGGATAGTCAGAGATATTAAGATATTCTTCAAATAATAAGTAACTACCTTGAGGTCATTTTGCTTCCACCCTCATCTCCATTGGCTGTTCCTCGTCGACTGCGCGGCCCCGGATAAACACCGGACTGCTACGCCCCATCACTACATCTTCGGATATGTGGACACTCAGGATATCAGATCCGGGGATCTCAAACATCGGGTCCAACAGGAGATTCTCCTATTTACAGGCAAAAAAACAATCATTGTTGGTGCAATCGCTGGATACTTCGGAAACTATGCGGAAAGGTTCTATGTATAGTCAATGATTTTAGTTCAACTTAAAAAAATACTCATTTTTAAAATTTTATGAAAATATCAACTGATGTAAGCCTTGTTTGGTTTTGGCATAGACTAAGCAACACAAGTAGACTCCTTATCCCATTGTAAATTTTGAAGCTTGTTTTTTGTGTCTAGTTCATGTACGTCCACACTGATCGCTGGGGTAGACAAAATTTTGTTTCTATTATTTAAGTGTTATTTTCACGATTTGTGCTTTACTATTTGGTTATATAACTAGGAAACCAGTTATTGTTTATGATTAAATCGTTTTATTTGGTTAAATAAGGTTTTAAATAACTGAAATAACAAGAAACAAATTGTAAACAAAACATAACCTCTACAGTTGGACGTACTAACTATGAAATTGGCTTCAGCTGTTCCATAAGGATGACAAATCTACTTAGGGAGTATGATTTATCTATGGTTTTGGTATGCTGTAAGTCACAAACTGAGGTGAGTGTTTATTGAATGTTACCATTTGGACCAAAAATTATTTGCAATATAGCTATAGAGTTATCTGTCTTTACCTAAACTCTATGGCTCCTCAAAATATAAGATCCTGATTCCGTTAACATTAATGTTAAAACTTTAAATGGTTAATTAATACATAGATACTAATAGCATTCTTGTTTTAATAGTATGTACAAGGTAGTTGTGTTGATTTGAGTGAGTAAACAGCAGATTTAGCGTCTAAAGTGAAATAAAGTAATTCATAACAAGTTTCACTAGCTTTAGCCTGTATACCTAAAATAGAAAATAATCAATTTAAATTTGACAAACCATGATAGCTCGAAGACCACGAGCTCCGGTTTTCCTTTCCATCGCCTGACAAGCAATAGCTTTGAGTGCTTCAGAGGAGAAGCTGAGCTCGACTTTGTCCATACTGAACAATATCTGGTACTGGTGGACCAGAGCGTTCTTAGGTTCTGTAAGGATGCGTACCAGCATATCCTTGTTGAGTGAATGGAACGGTACGATTACTGGGAACCGACCCACAAACTCCTAAACAAGCAAATTAAACTGTTATAGTCCGTTAGCCTGTTATATTTAATCCATATCATGTCTATATTTCTGAATACTGTTGACACAATCATGAGAAGTGACCATGTTATTGGAAAAGTCAAAGTTGATTTTAACTTTTAACCACAGGTGAAGATAATACAGCAATAAAACCAGAAATTAGATATTTCCTTCATTAAAAAACCTAACCGTCATAGGATAATCACTTATTAATTAATACTGTCTCTAATAAAGGCCAAGAATATTTGAATGGTCCCATCTGTCTGCCTAACAAGGTGTCAATCAAGAGAATTGTTTAGTCTGACTTAAACTTACTTCTATTCTTTTCTATGATTATGAGGTTATAGCATTTTAGAAAATACCTGTCTGAGTTGGTTACATTTTTTATTTAGCACAATAGCAGCTGAAACACATACGGAGCTTATGTGGTTATTCACAAAAAAACTAATACATATTGCATTACACACACTTACAGGAATCATGCCAAACTCTATGAGATCCCGTGCCTCCACATGAGCCAGCATTGCATCTTTCTCTAAATTGTCTTCCTCTGCGGATGTAATTCCACTCTGATTGGCCACGTCCGCCTGGCTAGCAGCTCTCCGCCCCGGACTTTCCTTGGCTGGCACGCCAAACCCAAGGTACTGCAACACAACCGACGTTTGAAAATAAATAATAAAAGTAAGGAGTTTATTCATTGATGCTAAAAGTAGTAAAGTATCATATTAAATGCTCCTCATGTGCCAAAGGTTGTCTAAAGAACAAGTCGGCCTTAGTCACTAACAAGACTACAAGATCACACTACTCATCCTACACTCATCCTTCACTCATATTTGGGTTAAAATACGCACCTAGTGGTGTCCCCATCTTAAATAATTGATAATTGATGATTGAATCAACCAAAGTGATTCAGTCTCACAAAACGATTATGACAAAGCCTTTTAAAAAATATCTGTATCCTTTATTTATATCACAAGTGTCGGTCAAACCTCATAAAATGTGTAGTTACAAAATGTGTAAATTACCATTATTTTATTATTTTATCAAGAAAATTCATTATTTGATAAATTATTGAATTATTATTAGTATAAGGTTTTTTAGCAATTGAGGCAATTGAGTTTAATAAATATAAGCGCTTTTTCAATTCATTAATGAAACTTGGTGAAGTGTTGGTGTGCTTGACAATTTCACGTAGTTAACTTCGCTGGATGTTTTGTGAACGACTAGTAGTACGTACACAACAGCCTTTAGCTTTTAAGCCAAAACAAAATTTAGAATTTAGCTGTTTCTTTCTGCTCATGTTTTTGACGGAACCTTTTTGATTTATTTATTTTTATTTAGTGAAAGAGTTTCTGCAACTAGGCTAAATACAACTGTAAAATAAAACAATTTATAAAATAAAAAAATTATTTGAGGCTATAGGAAGTTTAAAAAAACCTTTAACTACAAGAAAACACCTTTTTACAAATTCAGTCCCTAAAAATTGCGTCAGAGACAGCTAAATGCAAACACATGTTAATATTGAAACATGTGTGTGTTGTTTTCCATTTTAGTACTATTATTTTCCTCATAATATTTAGCATTGTAATTTTGTTTTCAATTCTCTGCGCTTGGGAGGTGCTGCGCTCCCTCGACAATCATCGGAACTATCTGGAGACAACAACCAGCTGTAGTTTTTATGAGCTTATAATAATATTACAGTATCATCTCGTTTTTCATTAGTACTATGTATCAGCTTGTGTTGTGCAACAGTCCTTTTAAAGTCTTTTAATGTGGTAATAAATTGATATTTATGATTTTAAATGGCCTCAAATAGAGACCTAACATCTGATACTATACGGAATTTATTACAAGTAGATGAAGATGACGATCTTTCCATTTCGTTTGAAGGTGTAGAGGAAGATCAGCGTTTTATTTTATTTTGTTTGATTTTTTATATACAAACTACTTTATATTATTTTGCTATCTTGGAAACACAACATTTAATCAAAAATCACGTGGGTGGATACACTAAAACCAGAGTTTAACTGCGGGTCAAAGGTTACGGTAATTTACTAGATAAAAAGGGGTCCTACATTATGATCTATATTTTAACCATCCTGAAATGGTAATTTTTATTACATACAGGGTGTCCTGCATAGGGTTCTCAATCCCAGGCCTTCAATCCAATCCCGGGATTTCGGGATTCGTCTCAGCCGATCCCGGGATTGAAAATCATAATATCATATAATCCCGGGATTGATCCCGGGATTATATGATATTATGATTTTTAACTTTTTAGCGATTTTAAATGAGCGAGAAGTCTCCTCGTTGAGTGATGTTTTAAACTGGCCTTACCAGTGTTACACTGCGCAATGTTTCCGTTTTCTAAGTAAATAAATATTACCACGCCAAACTTTCATCGCCCGTATTTCTTATTTACAGAGTATAAATGTTGATATGTCACTCTAGAATATAATAAGTACATTTAAAAAAATCACGAGCAACCGCACTCGCACGTAGCCTTGCTAATAGATGTTATTATTAAAATGTTATTTTGACTGACAGCAAAAAAAAGTATAAGATACTGTAAAACAATAAACCATCTGCTCAAAATAACTTGTGGGCCTACTGTAATTAAGTTCTAACTAATGTAATAAATTTTAAAGAAAGAAAAATCCAAATTGTCTACAAACTGAAACATATATTTAGGCCTACATTCGTTCGCCTATTGAGTTTAATGATAATTAAATTTTCCAATCAAAAAGATCATTAGGCCTACTTATACCATTTCGTATAATCGTCCTAAAAATAAAGAGTAGCCTATATGTTTTTCAAGTGTTATTGGACTATTTTTATTGGTTTTCCTCAAGTAAAAAGTCCTCAAATTCACAAAAAAATCAATATTAACATAGGTTTTGCAATCCCGTTAATCCCGGGATTAAAAGTCACCAATCCCGGGAATTCTATATATCAAAAATCGGCCGGGATCCCGGAATTGAGACCCCTAGTCCTGCATCAACTTAAAGACCTTTATCGGGTTATTTGGTGAAAAGAAGGGGGCTTAGTACAAAGAATGATATACAATATGCAGTCATTCACTAGTGCAACGATTAAAATGCAATAAATGTTATTTTTCAATACTGTTCAAATTGTTATAGTAATGAAAAGATTACCTTTTCGTTTTTCCGCCGACTGATAAGTCTGTCCAGGCCGTTGTAAGCCCCTGACGCCACAAACAGAATATTGGTTGTATCTACTTGCACTGTCTCACCACGAAGCTTACGAGGTGAATTCTTCTCCGGGACATTTACTATAGTGCCTTCCAGCATCTACAACAAATATTTACACTCATTTTTTGCACACAAGTACAGGAGAACCATACATTTTGCTCAGTACTAGTATTGATGGTAGAAACTCAAAACAAATAGCTTTGTAGTAATTTATTCAAGTTTATAAAGCTAATTTTTCAGTCATTGGTAACTTTCGGTGTTCAGTAGAACCCCGGTTAACCGAAATAAAGGGGGGAGAGCCATTTCGGAAAACCAACTTTTCGGTTAACACATCATATGCTAAAAGTAGCCGATGTATCACCACAGTGTGTAGGAAAAAGAATTTAAGTGCTATATAATTATATAAGGTCTATATAATAGAGGGCCAGGCTTACAAGTAACCATAGGATTGCAGCGCAGCTGGAACAGCTTATTGTGCACAAAAGTCTATATAATTCAGTATTTTATTTCAGCTACAAAAAATTTTACAATGGGATAGAAAATTCTTTAGACCAGACAACTGAAGTTATTAAAGCATTTTACAGCCTTAAATTATTTTATAGAACCATTTCAGTTAACCCGGGTTTCGGTTACCCGAATTCGGTTAACAGGGATTATACTGTAGTGCGTTAAACTCGTGAATCAATCATCTCCCACAATCAATGCAAATATATGAATATTTCCTGCGTTCGCAGACACATCATTATCATCATTTGCCAAAATCGTTGACATCTCCCGCAATCCTGGCGGCCTCATCATCGTCAATAGCGATTACGACGAAATAGCTGACACTTGTTGGAACATACCTAGATAGGAAATCCTGAATATGCCTACTGGAAGATCGACAAAATATTGTTCCTAATCTTTGTGAACCGGTATAATCACTTCTCAACTGACCTTTAGCATGCCTTGCTGCACTCCTTCCCCACCGACGTCCCTCAGTTGGTGGATGCCAGGAACTGCTCCTATCTTGTCCACTTCATCCAGGAACACAATCCCTGGAGATACACAGCAAGTGTTAAGCGATTTATACTACCAAAGACGATATGACTGTGACTAACATAACCATGAGTACCGAGAGTACCTACTTAAGTTGTTTTAAAAATGAAAAATACATTTTTATCAAGGCAAATTTAAGGACCACATGGTCCTTTCATACAGTTCATTTCAAAACTACTTAATATCTGCTAAAAAGTAGATGGAAAAATATAAACAAAACCAATATTAGTTATTAAATTAATAATAATAATTAAGTGCACAGTAATATTAATTTAACAGTTAATACTCTCTAACCTAAACTTTTTCACACATTAATTTTATCCTACACCCAGCTTGAACACACACACTGACCTTCCATCTCGTGTATCTTGTTCCAGCTATGAGTCTGGAATGGGATTCTGATTCCAGGTATCTAATAAGTAGGGATGGACGAGATTGGATTTTTAGTTCGAGACGAGACGAGACTTTTTATTTCTCATAAAATTTTGAGACGAGATCAAGACGGGATTTCCCTTCTCATACACAACGGGAAATGCACGTTCAAAATTTTTACCTGATTTTGTAACATTGTTAGATGACTGTTTAAATACAAAAATAATGATAATAGGCAAGAATATTTACAATCTTTTATTAAAAACCATCAGCATAACATTTTTTTATTAATCACGCCTAACTTATTAAAAATGCCTACGATTAGGAAACATAGTGATATCAGTTAGGATAGAGTTCAACTTATCCTAAAATAAAATTAATCATAAAATAAAAGCAATATTAATTTTTATAAAATAGTTAGGTACTTGTTTTGACTTTTTATAGTAATAAAACATTCCTCACACGGCTTACACTTAACAAAACTTCTCAAATGTTATTAAAGTAATATTATTAAAATAATTAAAGTAATATTTACATTTAAAGAATTAATTAAATAAGAACGCCTCCGCAAAGGAAACACAACTACAACACACTCCTGTATTGCGGGTATTGCATTGACTTTCTGCAGGCGTTTTTAATTTTTTTTTTTTTTTTTTTATTCTCGTCTCGATAAAAATCTTGGTCAAAAAGAAATCTCAAAAAGAAATTTAAAATTTCCCGAAATTTCGAGACTTGACCATCCCTACTAATAAGTAATAGTGTGGGGTGGGGAGTTCCAAAGATGTTGTTCTGCCTTATTGGGCCAAAAATAATCTTTATCTTTGAAAGACAAAACTAAATTAAGAAGTTATTATTCAATTTAACAAGGCAAGTATTGAGGGCCGATTACTTGATTGAAGATTGTATCAGTGTTCAGGGAAGGGGCAGTCCAGGCATGTTTGTTGCACATGTGTAGTTTACAAATCCACTGGAATGATCCTTGGCACTCAAAAGAGTTTTGTTAGTTGAAAACTAATAGGTACCAGAAAGTGATGAGTAGGCCTACCTGTCCTAGTAACATTGAGTACTGTATGTTTCCAACCAATAAACACAGATCAAATACAGTGTTAAGATGTTCATATTAAGAATCAACATAAGATCAATTATTTGTAAGGCTAATAAACTGTTAGCCTTTTGTCAAAGCAAGTTTGCTAAAACACCACACACCTGCCTGTGCCTTCTCAACACTGTAGTTTGCGTCTTGCAGCAACTTGCCGATGACACTCTCAATATCCTCGCCCACGTAGCCGGCTTGGGTCAAGGTTGTACAGTCGCAGATGGCGAACGGAACATCCAGACACTGAGCGATCGTCTGAGCCAACAGTGTCTTACCTGTAAAAATCACCAGATTGGACAATGATTGTTTCTGTACATAGAGTGGTTTGAATGGATACCAGTTAATATTGAGTTTTAAGATTCAGATAATTTCTACATCCAAGCAATCCCCTGATCCAAATAAAATGGTAGACAATTTTAGCTTCAGTCAATTAAGGGGTAGTACTGTAACTAGGTTGCTATGTTTTGTCTTTCTTTCTATATTATCAATTGGTTTATGGTTTTCTCTACCATAAAGCTACAGGAAAAATATCATCATGTAAATGGAGATAAAGCAGAGAATGTTTCAATACGATTTTAATGTCAATTTTACATAGAAAAAAAGTTAGGCTTTGGTCAACTAGGATACCCATTAAAAGTTTTCAGCTATTGCTTGTTTATTACCAGATCCTGTTGGGCCGAGTAGCAGTATGTTGCTCTTCTCAAGTCGCAACTCATGACTGTTGGAGTCAAGGATGTCGCTACCCAGGGCGTTAGCGGACGAGGGCGTCCCTTTACGCTCTGCTCCACTGTCCGGTTGGAACCCTACACCCAGGGCGGCAGGGTTCAGCCCCATGTTGCTTAGGTTTAGGAAGTCAACTAGAAGCAAACAAATAACAATATAAGTTAATTAATCGTAATTTACGATAATTATTTTTATTTTGTTCTTTAAACTTTTAACAATTAAGAATTCATCGGCAATGGCTTGTCGAATATTGTCCTTTAATAAAATTGGATTGGAGGAATGATGTGTATACGTCATTCTATAAAAAGGAATTTGTTCATTTAGCTAGATCAAGTGAGTGTTTCAAAGGAGATTTAATGATCGGGGAAGTGCTCCATTGCACTGCACGTTCTTTGGTTCCATATTTTGGAACCACACATCACTAATAATGTCTTGCAAGGTTGGGAGGAATAGTAATCATCTACTAGTAGCACTCTGGATTGACTGTTACACTGTGTTTTGTTTATCCCTACTCTTTACACTTACAGCTTGTTCACACATCAAGAAAGACAACAAGCGCCTCATAAAGCAGCTTTTCACACCTAGTTTGGGAGAAACTAAAATCACAAGCAAGTAGCTCCTTTTGAAATGAGCGACCTTTGAGAAAGTATGAATTTGAGTAAATGCACACTTCTACTTTGTCCAATGATGGCAATGGAATAAGAGAGAAACAAATGTCAGGACTTTCCCTGCGCCGTTAATCCCCTACTTCTAGTCACAAGGTGGAGGTTTATAAATCAGCAAGTTTCTATGCCCTACTCTGTTCCACATTGAGCCTTCTTTGATTGATACTGCAGTACAGATATGTCCATCACCTAAGTGTAAAGTTTACTCACCCCTGTTGGGAAAGACAAAGCTCTGTCCCTGGTTGTTCTGCTCCATAACTGTGACGTCCTGACGAGTGCCGCTGCCATGTGAAGGTATGTTGTTGTAAATACGCTTGTAGTGGTTATAAACAGCAACCGACAACACCTTTTTGGCCTTCTCCTGCCCCACCACGTGCTTGTTCAGATACTCGTAGATCTAAGAAGAAAAACCAAAACAATGAATACTACAGTTCAACCCTGCTAATCGGTCACCTACGGGACCTGGACCATGGTCAAGCATTGAAAAGATCGGATTATTCAAAAATCATATTGAATATCCAAAATAATTGCTTAACTGCTATTTACAATTCATTATTAATCTCCCTCTGACTGCGGGAGACTTTTAATATTTTGCCACGATCATGGTAGACGATGATGGTTTCTGTTACTGGGGGAGACGTTCAATATTTTGACAAGATCGCGAGAGACAACAACTATGTTTCCTTTGAAGCAGAATATATTCAGGAGTTTGTGACGTGGGATTTGTCTAGGATACTCCACAATCGGGGAAGACAATGTAGTTATTCCCGTGACTGTGGGAGACGTTCAATATTTTGACAAGATCGCGAGAGACAACAACTATGTTTCCTTTGAAGCAGAATATATTCAGGAGTTTGTGACGTGGGATTTGTCTAGGATACTCCACAATCGGGGAAGACAATGTAGTTATTCCCGTGACTGTGGGAGACGTTCAATATTTTGACAATATCGCGAGAGACAACAACTATGTTTCCTTTGAAGCAGAATATATTCAGGAGTTTGCCGCGATTGCAGATAACAACGACAGTTTCGGGGATCGCACGAGGCGATTACGATGTTTCATTTACTGCAGGAGATATTCAGGAGTTTGCTGCGATGGCAGAAGGACCCCTAACAACTATAAAGTTTCTGTGATTGCTAGAGACAATGTTGAAGCCCTGCGAGCTCAGAGGATGTTTAATAAGACAATGATGATGTCTACATGACCACGAGAGATGTTCAGGATATTGCCACAATCGCCAAAGACAATGATGGTTTTTTCTGTGACGTGGGATTTGTCTAGGATACTCCACAATCGGGGACAATGCAGTTATTCCCGTGACTGTTGGAGACGTTCAGTATTTTGCCACGGTCCAGGACGATTACGATAAATGTTTAGGTCATGATGATGTTGTCTTGTTTAACGGTTATAGGGTAAAAAACAAGGTTGTGGGAGACGGTGATGATCTCCAAACGAGCATTGAAATAGTCACAATATTACCGTGTTAACATTAGGCCATGGCACCAACTAATGGGCAATGACACGGCCGGATTGAGCAAGGAGTCGGACTAGCCGAGGTCGGATTAGTGGCGTCCTAATGTAGGAGAAAACAAACAACCACTTATTGCCCTTCTCCTGCCCAACCACGTGCTTGATCAAATACTTTTATATCTAAAAAGAAAAACCGAAATAATAAAATCTAGTATATAACTGACATCAGCATATTTTTCCCTTCTACCACAGGCTTTCTGTTTTTGCATAACTTAAAAATTACAGCAAACTGATTGGCATAAAAACAACAACATCCTTACTATTTATACCTTTATTGTTAATAATTTATTAATATACATATTTTTAATGAGAGTAAACTTGAATTTATTTACAGCCCATTAATACTGACATTTAATGGTTTTAGGTCATGACAACTTTAAAAGTCTACGTAAACTTCTAAATGCCATAGCAAAGTCATAAATTACCTATCTCAATAAAAATAATCAACATCAATACAATTTATTCCTTTTAGCGAATTTCCCTATAGGGAAGTAGCTATTACCGTAGGTGGCACGGCAAGACCTAGACCCGGGACCGATTTACTTTTTCATTTTGATGTCCCCAGAGGCCAAAAACACTATTCGTTCAAATTTTTATATATGTATATATATATATATATATATATAGACTTATATATATATATAACGATGTACGGAGGGATAATGCTACTTGATATTTAGATTCAGTGATATCACTACCGGCCGTCCCCCCCCCGCGCCACTTCCGGCGTTCGAGGCCGGGTAGCAGTATCCCTCACTCCGTATTTACTCGAGCCTTACGTCGATTCTACTCCAGTTGATACGGATTAAAGGATAGTACTACCTAAAATACGTGTTGCCAACTGTTGAATTAAACCCCACTGTCATCTCACATCTTCTTTATTTACTGTTATTTTATTCTTTAAGTTTTCGTATTACCTAAATTATAGACTTACGTTTTGTGAAGTTTTATGTTCATTTATACAATTTCCATTATGTACGGACTTTGTCTCGTTATTATATCTCGCATATGACCTTTGACTATTAATACAATAGTTCTTCTGTATCCCATAGTGAATGATATAACATACGATTTCCCAAAACTTATTATTATTAACCAATCGTTTCAATTGTTATAATTTAAAATTCTCATAATGCAACTGGTTAAATGAAATATAAAATTCCAAAGTGCTAATGATAAAAGCCACGTAATTTACCAAATAAAACTAATCTTAGTTTTACATTGCCGTTATTAACTCCGTTTAGTGATTAATTTCAAATGAATGTAGGATAAGTAAAAACAGTCGATGAAGCGTAGAATCATTGCAATAATTATGCTGATAAGTTTCATCGTAGGTGAACGCATTGCTTAGAATCTGTTTTAAATTACACAAGAAGTGACAATTTGTATACATATACTAGTGGATGATCTGCTAACATTTCGACTGGTTACGTAACACTAAACATTAACGTCAAGTTATTTATAGGCCTACTGTGAATAAATATTTATTCTGTGATTTAACTTTCGGTTTTTGGACGACTTTTAAATCGATGTACAAAAAGTATATGTAACATAGTTACTACTCGGTGTAACATATTATGTTTTCTGAGGTAAATATATTCTTCAATAATTACTAACGATTACAAATGATAAAATTGTAAGTAGAACCTTTCTTTTAGTAGGGTGATCCTTAATCCGCGTAGTTTTTTCGTGGAGTAAATAAGGATCGATATACGGTTTATTGTTAGTTTTTTATATGTCAAAGAGTCGTTTTCACCAAAACTGTTACTGTTAACACGCATAGATTTTTTACTAAACTCTGTACTACATTAACATTTCACTTCATGACGGTTACCCCTATTGTAATAAAATTACTGAACGGCCCAATCCACTGTCACCTTTCGGATGTTGTATAATACCGATAATACACGTATAAATTGTTGTTTAGCAAAATTTTACAAACAAAATTCTTAATTTAATTTCATACTTTACCACAGTGGCGTAGGTACAACACCATCTTGAACATATAGGAGGTGAAAAATCCTTCCTGAAATGTGTATTAAAAGTATGTTACTTTTTATTATTTTTTAAGTGTTGACGGCCTCTTTTAACCTTGCATTTGCACACATAGACTAACCACCCGTTCGTAGATCGTATACAGCAAAGCAAGGAGTGAGCCAGTACAGTACAAACCACCCGGCTTATATACTGTGCCACCACCATTATACACATGTTTTGAAAGAAAATATTTGATCTTTTTTTACTTCTATTATAATTAAGCTTGTTTATTGTAAGTATACTAGTATACTATTTTGTTTATCGATAACTGGTCCCACAAAAAATGCAATACCAGTGGCAGTAGCCAAAGTTCCTATGCGCGACTAAATCTGGTTGGGTTATAGGTAAAGGGGTTGACCAGGGCACTTTTGTGAAACCATTTGTGTATTGCTCCTCACCCTCACTCACATATATCCCCAGCACTGCCAATAACCGGTACCCGTAAGCTATTTGCGCGCCAAACGCACTCGAGTCACCGAACATTCAACAACTTACAAACCACTCCTTCTACTCCCCTCACTCGCACTTTTTGGTCCGGTCTTCAAGTAGTGTCAGTCGTCTGGTGTTAGTAGTGCGTTTGTGTTTGTTACTTTGCTACAAATAAACTTTCATTGAATGTAATAATAATTTAGCCTAGGATTTTACGGTTTCATTCAACTTTTTATTCTGCTATGACATTATTTAAGAATCGCTAAGATAATACGGAGTTAGCTCTTTTTTTAATATTCAACAGAAATAGTTACAAAAATAACACACAAAACATAAAATACGCAAACAAATAAAAAGCATAAAAATCCATTTTAGATCAATATTTTAGGGGATTAGGTTGAAGCAGCGACTACAAAACTTTAAGAATGTTCCGATATTTGGACTGTTTATAATTTTTCACCACACTATGATGTTTTTGGCTTTATTACATAGGCCTACGTTAATTGGTGGCTGAAAGTTACGTTTTGCTGGCCATGCAAGCTGTCATCGTAATTTGGGGACCAACCAGGGTTTTACAGCCTGGGGCAAAATCAGCTGTCCGCTTCCTTACTTAAAACATGAATGCATTTTAAATACACAATCAAAATCCATAGCATTGCAATAGAATTGTATTATTGTCACCGTTGCCTAGCAACTATTTATTTTTATTTTTGCTGATTCCTCAAATTATTTCTTCACATAACCTTAAAGTTGTAGTTGTGTTGACTATCAGTGTGCATTATTATAGTGGTGAATAGTGGTAATAGGGTATAGTGGGGTGAAAAATAGCGTTCGTACCACAGACCGAAATGGTTTTGCAGCTCTCGATCGATTTAAAAACTATCTCGAGCCGGCAAAACCTTATTTTCGGCCTTATTTTTATTATTTCGGCCTGTGTCTATGTGTTATTATAGTCAAGATCTATTAATTGTTAATTTAAAAAAAAATCCCGGGGAGCCCTCCAGTAGCCCTATTGACCAAGGTCTATCTACGACACTCCTTTACAGTACTAATATAGTACTTTAATGGTATTTTTCAAACAATACCAATGTAGTAAATAGGCAAAAGTATCGATGACTACATTTTTATATTTGTGTGATATCCATTTAATAGTATCATATAGTTATGCTTGCTACAGCCTTGAGCTTTATTCAATTATTATTGCTTTAAAGCAAACACAAACGATGAGAAATAAAAATCATTGATAAATCACGAGCTCTATTATCTCTCTTGTTTGTAAAAACTCACTAGTATTGTACTTTACAATAGTTTTTGACTATATGTCTGCGAAAGCTTTATTTAAACTACTATCTCAACGAAACTCTAACTACTACCATTATTTTGTTTAATAATTAAAAACT